TTGTTGAATTTGAAATTTTGACATCCTAATAACTACGCTGAGCAAATGATTTCGGTTTAAAGCTCTTGAAGCGAGAAAAGACTCAGGAGGGTGACAGTCCCTCCTTCACTAAAGTTCTCCACTATTCATGGTTACGCCATCCAGTCCACTCATTTATTTTCTGTCTCCTCCCTCTTTACAGCCGCTGCACACTTTCATTCCATCCATCAGGTTTTCTTTCAAACCCCCTCCTCCTCCTCCTCCTCCCACCAACCATATACTTACCCATTGTCCTGCAATTACTCAGGACTTCTTCTTAATGCATTTTGTTTCACTCTCTCGCTCTTCCTATGCCGTGCAGAACCCTCTATCAGTCTCTGTCACTTCCTATTCAAAGCTATACACCAGTGTACATTCATCAGTGCTTGGATCGTTTAAGCACCTCTCTCTCTCTCTCTCTCTCTCTCTCTCTCGCACACACACACACACACACAGGTCAGACTTGGGCCGCTGCATCTATGTGAATGTGCGTTATGCTTTTAAAAATGAAAAGCTTGGGAGAGTGTTAGTATGCATGCATGCATGCAACATCGAGAGTGACCTCTCCCTGTGCTAGTACAGGCCATTGACTTTGCTGTCAGACCTTATAAAGCAGTGACCACTCAATCTGTTACACTGGCTGCTACTTCACTCACTGACTCACAGTGTGTGTGTGTGTGTGTAAACGAGAGAGTGAGAGCAATGCTAAGTGAAAAGTAGCGCTATATATGTGTGAATGTTTTTGCGCTTAAAGTCTATAAAGATGCGTTTGCGTTGATGTCCTTGTGTGTGTGTGAAGGCTGGAGTGTGTCTTCTTCTGTGGTACAGTCTATTAATGAGGCCTTGGGTACAAGCTCCAAGTATTTTTCATCACCGGCTGAAAAAGAGAGAGAGAGAGCACACACACACACCCATGCACACGAGCACAGTGAAACATTTGGCTGCACAGGAAGAAGGTTAAGAGAACGCTAACTCAGGCTGATAATTAGCATTTTGTGTCTGAGTGTGCGAGCGTGCACAGAGGAGTTGTCTAGCCGTTTGCATATACAATCCGTGTGTAGTGTATATATGGGGATTGTGTTTTCCAATTCCTGACTAATTTCTCTTGGGGTCACGGGGTTCTTTATTCATCATCCCAACAGCTGGCTAATAGGAGTCCTGCACACACACACACACAGGCTGAACTAAACTAAGGAGCTCTTGAGTTTGTTTTGTGTTGATTGTTTTTATGTTTTTAACCTTTTGTCTGTCTTTGTGTGCTTGAATGTGATTTGGCTATTATAGTTTGCTGTTTTGAGTGTTGTACGTGTGTTTCACTGTGCATGAGTGATCCACCGCGAGGATTCACAGATTGCTTTAAGTGGGACTCATCTTTCTCTGCAGGGGGGAACTCATCGCTCTGTGTGTGTGTGAATACTTTTTACACAGATGTTTAACAGTGGAAATTAATCACTGTGTTGTGTGGGTGTGTGCACTCTGCTCCTTATCTGTGTCTAATTTCCTCCTGAGGTCTTCTTTAAAACAGACTTAATTACACTAGTTACTGTATGTCCTCACCGGGAGGCCGAGGAGCTCTGAGCTGGTGAAGTTTTACTCCGGTGGGAAAAAAAATGTGTTTAGATACGTCGGAATCATCTCCCGCAATCCATCAGATCAACTTATTTTGGGTTTCTTTCAGGCTTGTGTCTCACGTTTTAGTGTTCTGTTCTTTAATGCTGTCTTTGATGTTAAGATTTATATATAAAGCACATTTTAGAGTTGCTATATAAATAAGGATTTACTTCCTTCCCTCATTTCTTCTGCATGATGGATTCTTCATGGTACTTACTTCCTCAGGATAATTTTAGGTTTTTTTTTATTTTTTATAATTTGTTTGTGCTTGTTGAATCATCAGCTGCAGTTTTCTATCCTCAGGCCATCTTTTTTTTTTTTTTTTTTTCCTACAATCCACCCGTCTCGTTCGTCTGCCCATTTGATTGTCTTGACATTTATACTTGCCAAATGTAAGAAATCAAAGTGATCCTAAAGGCGCTAAGCCCGTTGCACAATTAGTGACGTAAAATGCATTTTTCTCTTTGAAGACAGGAAGAAGGGAATTGGTGTGGATCAGTCACGTCCTCCCAGACTTGTTTCCACAAAATGCTAAACACAACAAAAAGGCAGAAAAGAAGGAAGAGACGACGAATCAACTTTTTGTTTAGTGTAGTTTCATTTTCAGATGTGAATGTTTTTTTTCTTGGGAGTGGTGAAAAATCCTTAGCATGATTAATTTGGATTGATATTGAGATCCTGATTGTTAAACATGATCACTCGCTGATTATATAACATCTCGTTACGGGCTTTAATCAAACTTAAGGACTCCTAACGTCTTAACATTCTGAAAAACAAACAATAAGTCAAAACTAAACTAGTCAATATATAAAAATAAAAGTTTCAAATACGAATAAAATAAACAGTTTTTAGGAACTAAAAACTCTTGAGGCAAAATAGACCCCAAATGACAAAATAATCAAAGTGCAACCTTGTGGCACAGTTATCGTCTTGATTATCTTCTATTGTTTTTATGATTGTAGGAAGCCAAGAATTGTAATTAAAATTGATACTGGATTAACGGCCCAGCCCTAGAAGGCGGTGCTGTTGTCTTTTCTTTTCTTGGGTTGTTCACATCTGTGCCTTCATGGATAATCAGATCTGCTGTGTTGCAGCTTGTTTTTTTGCTGTTGTTAATGTTTTTTTTTTTTTTTTTTACATTTGATTGCAAACAATAATTGAATTGTGATGTTTGGGTGTTATTTTCTTCCAGCATTTCCTTCTCTCAGAATGGGGTTTCTACCATAACAGCTTTGATTATAGACATAATCAGTGATGTGTCTGAATCGCATCTGAGGAACTTTAAAAAAAAAAAAAAAATTAAATTAGTGAAAATGGTGGCATCACCAATCAGATTGCTTTGCTAAAATCATCCGTGTAATTTTTGTAAACCTGTCTGGCCTCCAAATTATAATGGTTATAATGATAAACTTGTTTATATAACATTCTTATAGCAATTGCACTCTGCCTGCAGCTCCCACTGGGAAAAATTAAACCGGAGCCTCAACAACCTAGAGTGGAGTACTGAAGGGTTCAGGTGTTGCTCTGCTAACACGCTAATTGTCCTCAAAATGATCATAGTACACAGAGTAGAGGTATAATCTACTTCTATAAGAAAAACCCAGAGCGATATGTAGATGATACAGTTATATAAAAACATTTCTAATCAGCGTAAATGGTTGTGTGTTAAAATGTTCTCTACTTACTCTGAACACATTGCATCTGCATGCTGTATCAAATTATAGTTTGAGGCAAATCCACCATTCCTTCACTACATAGTTGGGGGAAAATGTATCAAAAATTAATGAAAAATCAACCACTGAAACAACCATAATTAAAAGTTAAAACAGCCATTTAAAGCTAAATGGAAAAGCCCAGTCATCAGTACATGATGAACATGTATAATTTAAACTGAGAGCGATGAACAGAGTGAAGAAGAAACCACGTCTGGAGAGATGACCAGAGATTGGATTATACTTCTTCATTGTCTTGTAAATGGACAATAAGCAATTAAACTAGCCTTTGGAGTTTGTCGTGGAGTGTGAAGAGCGGTACAATGGCTCTTTAAATGGTACATTTGCAAACCACAGGGCTGATTAAATGTGGAACATTTCCTTTCAAAGAACAGATGAACATCTTTAGGCAGACATAAATGAAATCCTGTATCAAAGATGTTTTTTTTTTGTTCCCTTTTTTAGAAGCTTTGAACTGAAGCACACATGGCTCATTACTGTTGTTGTGTCAGGGAATTCAGTCCAAAGATGAGAGGAGATTGGGAAGATAATAGGTTTGATTTCAAGAGCTCCCCCCCTCTCAGTCAGCATTACCTACTACTGTTGACTGCATTGCACCTGAACAAACTGAAATTCTCAACCAATAAACCAAAACTATGGTCTCTTCCTGTCTCTAACCAGGTTAACTTAACTAAACCACAGAAAAGTTCTTAATTTCATTCATTGACATTAAAGTATTAACTCTTAATACTGACAATAAACTGTTTGCAAAACGAGGAATTCACCTTCTCACATGTATTATCTATCAAACACTGTCATTATGTTTCCACATTGTTCCTTTTGTTAACTGAAAAACTGCTGCATTCAAATCTTTCCTGGAGGGATCACAGCTTTCTTTTTTTTTGTTGTAGATTTTTGAAATATTTTGAATCGAAGTTCTGTAAACACAGTGTGTTTTGTTTAACAAATCATAAAGCCCTCAAATGCCTCTTCATGATTTCTGACTAGACAAAGTGACTCTTCTCGGGTATTGGTTGACACAATAAGATGCAGATGAATAATTCCGGTAAGCCGAGCTTTGATGTAACACAGTTTGCCAGCCTGCTCAAAATAACCTCCTGATAATTAATAAAACATATATCCTACAACCTCATTTGTATGCAAATGAGTTGTGTGTCAATCTTACTTATGAGGCAGCTGGTCTGTTGTCCATTACTCTCCTCATTGTACCATGTTTGCTCTGTGTCACAATATGGTTTAGAGGACACATCCAAGCCTCTCTATCAACAATACTGGGACACTTCCAGTATAGGTACCTGTCGTGAGAGATCAGGACTGCAGTGTTGTAGCTTAAAGGTAGTCTTTCATGGTGATGAGCATTAATAAATCCCTTTTGATTAATGATGTTGTTATTATTTTACTTCAGGGATATTATGTAAGATGCCTCCTCTGTCTAAATAAAACATTAAGCCTCTTCTTCCCTCATGTTATGCAGTCACATTATTAGAGCGAGAACAGGTGTTTTTTTGTTCTGTCAGTTTCATGCCTCATTAACACGAGTGAGTGCTCTTTTTTTTCTTTTTCAGTGTTTACACAACTAAGATGATTATGTACTTCAGAGATGTAAAAGCGCCTTTTCTCCATCTTTTCTTGCTGCAGGTGGGCTACGAGAACGCTGGCACCGTGGAGTTCCTTGTGGACAAACACGGCCGACATTACTTCATCGAAGTCAACTCTCGACTCCAAGTTGAACACACGGTCACTGAAGAAATCACCGAGTAAGTAGAGGATGATTACACGTTACCACGGGCATAGGCAGGTGGGCAGCTGGATGGCTGTCGCGGTTGTCGTTTTCTCTGTGTGTTTTTTTTGTTTGGTATCAGCTGGCCACAAACCGGTGTGCAGCGCTGAGGTAAGATGGTCTGCAGAGCTGTCGAAGTAGAAGGAGGGAAAGTCGGAGGAGTTGAGAAGAGTGACGGCAGCTTTAAAGTGTGCTAGACGGAGGGAGGAAAAAATGGATTTAAAGACAGAAATGTGAGGGAGAAGACGAGGGTGACCGAAAGCTGACAAGTACAACGAGACGGGTGTAGGAGAAAAGAGGAGCGAGGAACAGGTGGAGTCAGTGAAGAGAGAAGCTGAAAGATGAGTTCAGAGACAGGCTGAGGGACAACAAAGGAGAGAGAGAGAGAGAGGATAATAAAATAAATGAATAGCATTCCGCTTCACTGATGACCTGTGAGATTTCCTCTGATGCAACCCCACAGATGGGTCTCCTCATAATACACACGAGAGACAAACCCAAACAACCCACCGGTACATGTTTAAAGGCCCTGCGGTCACACCCAGACGCATAACTCTCTGTTAGACACTGATGTGTGTACACAGGAAAGTCCAATTACACTAATTCATATCGAATTTCCTGCATAATAAGCTCAATTAATGAATCAAGCTGACTGATGAACAAAGCAGTGATTGCAGGAAGTGGTAGGCAGGTGGGGGATTTGCACGGGAACCAAATGGTACCACCTGTTCCTATGGTAACCTAACATGATTGACAAGGCTGAATTCTCTTGGATGTTGTGATCAGTCGCCGCTCTTGTTTGGCTTCTTTGATCTCATCCGTCTTCTGTTTTTTTTTTCTTCTGTCGCACACAGAAGCTCTTTGTTCAGCTTCCTTTTATTTACATTGCACAACGCTGAGCTGAAGCAGCTCTGGATCACCGGATAAAAACTCATCAGTCAACATTGAGAGCAAAGCAGTGATTTACTGCGACAGCCACCAGTCACTACACAAAGTCAGTTTTGATTTCAAATCATTAATTTAAGTAACTTCAGTTTGATTTTGGTAGAAGTAAGATGGCTTTAATAAACGGCCAACAGGGTACAGCGGGCACAGCCAACCGCACCTAAGGAAGCTGCAGACGAAACACAAAAGCCAAATGTTACAACCCAATACTTGTCTTTGAATAGTGTTTTTGCATTGAAGGGCTGTGATGTCAAATCTAAATAGATAATACCAAAGTTTAAATACAACATGTTTGATCTGAACTCTGAGGTGGCCTAAATGAGCCGTGGGATAAACTCAGTTGAGGAACTGGTTATTAACTCAATAATTGGTGGATTAAATCTCTTGACACTCTAACTGCGCTCACACAGGTCAATTAATTTGGTTGATGAGACGTCTTCAAAGAACTGTGTGTTCATGTAGAGCCTATCTCCCAATCCTGGGAGCTCGGCTTCCCTAATTACGTTCCACATATTTCACATTAATGATTCAATTAAGGTTTATAAAGCTCCTGGAAAAATATCCAGCCTGGCTCCAGCTAACATTTCTCAGAAAACGGTTTTCTTTTTAAACAAATAAAAAAAAAAGTAAAAAGAGAAATAAAGGTATCGCACAAAAACACAAAATCATTCAGGCTTTTGCCAATGCATTGTATTTTTTCTGCTTATACATTTGCACATTTTTAAAATGTTTACTTAGAACACATTACATGGTTCACCACCATGTTTACTTCTGCACGTTAGCCCTGATCTTTGCGAATAAGAAGTATTATCACATCATTTTCGTTGCGCCTAAGCAAATAAGTCATTCTATATCTCCATGTTACGCTTCATACTTTGTTTATGGGGTTGTACACATTTCCCTCTGCCTGCCCTACCTCCTATTTTCTCTGTCTCTCTCTGCAAACACATTTCACTTATAGCGAAGCTTTCTATCTCCTGACACACACATGCATGAACACAATCACAGGTACACCCTAACCCTGCAGTGCTATGACACTGTAAGTTAACAAAAAGTTATCTGGTGTATTACCCATCCCCTCCACTCCAGTCCTGAACCAGTATGCCACACTCTCTTTGTCCTGCAGAGTGAGGCTCATATCACACAGAGATTTTTGACATTTTGGGGAATTGGGGTCATCTGAATTGGCAGGAGCGCAGTAATTACTTGAATCCAGGCGGAGTCCTGCAGAAAAACAGGCACAAGTGGAAAGTTTCAGCTGTCACGAGCAACACTTCTCATTTGCACAGCTTTCATTTCAGGCTGAGGTTTAGCTGCAAGCCGCCACAGCTGGAGGTATGAGATGGCTGGAGAGAGAACAGCTCTTTCCAACAGAAACTCGATGTGCATCCAGCGCATTATTTGGGGAAATGTAATCTTACTTTTGAGTGTGAATAACAAGTTTTTATAATTGAGTGCGTTGTCCATTGTTTTTTCTGCTTTCTATTTCACTCGGCCGCACTTCCCGTCTCCCTGAGGTGTGCAAGCACATTCATTCTACTTTTTGTCACCAGCTGCGTTACTAATACACTTGTCAGACAGGTATTTTTCATGCTGAGTTGTGAAACTCTCCTTTAAACTTAGCATTTATTACCCCACCCGCCCTACCATCACACGGTATTTCATCACTTTAACTCTGCCGCTTAATTCTACAGTCATCAATCATGCCGCCTTTTCTTTATTCAACTTAACTTTCTCCCATTTGGAAGCTTTCTGCAGTTCAGTCCAGGCTTATTTGTCTTCTATCGTCATTCTTTTTCTGCGTCTGTCATTTTCTTTCTCCTCCTCGTGTAGAACATACAAAGTTCTTCTTTGCTCCAGTGTCCACAATGTCAGAGAAGCCCAACATTAACATACGACTAAGTCACCAAGTCTGAAATGGTAGCTTTGACATGAACCACACCAAGCGATCACCCATGAAATCCAATCCTGACAATATTAGACCCTCTGTGTAACTTCTCCAACTGATTTAGTTGGAAGGCGAATGAAGTCCATTTGGCAACATAAGCTTCAACACCTGACTTTGACCCGATTCACATGGTTTTTAAATTGTTTGTGAATCTAAATCTATAAGGTGCCCAGGCTCACACACTGTGAGCTGATGTCGGCTAGGCATACATTTCATCTATTTTATTTTATTTGTTTGTTTGTTTATTCAACACGGGCATACAGTAACATTGGTGCTGTAACATTTCACCATGCACAAGTTCCAGATGCACTGCTCTTAGTGTTTATAGCAAAATGCTAATTTGCAACACCTGTCCACGGGAGGCTTTCAGACAGCCGATAAACAGCTGCTTGGTCACATAAATGGGAGGATTGATTATTCTGCACAGAGTTATTACTTATTTTTAGATGGCAATAACTGGACTGAGTGCATACAAACTTGGTTATGACACCCCCACAGATAAGATATCCACACACCACCTGCTATGGAGCACCTGCAAATGGGTTCTTAGCCTTGTTTGAACCTCAATTAGCGGCTCACTAGATCAGATTCCCTGACTTTGATATTTTTGAGCGTGTGTCTGCTTGGTATGCAGTTTGATCTGAGTGTTACTAATGGGATGCCATCTGTAGTGAGGGTCAAGGTAACTCACACGCAGGTATCACATTTGAAGTAGCCTCTCTCCTTTTCCCGCTCCTTAATCCATCCGCTGTTCAGTCCCCACCCATCCATCTGATCCTTCATTCCTCCCTCAGGCTCTCCCCTTCATCTGCCTGTTCAGCTGATTTCCATTCCTCCATCCCTTCTTTTTCTCTCTCTCTCTCTCTCTTTTTCGCACCATTGCCTTCTGTTCTGTCTCTCTCTTCGCCTCCATCGTCCTTTCTGCCCTGCCAGTTTCTCCCTCGGTGTCTAACTCTCACTCTGTCACTCCGTCACTCTTGTCGCTCTTCTCCCGCTGTGCGGCCCTCCCTCTCTTCCATCTCATCTTTGCCAGTCTCTCCCCTCATTCGCATTCATCCTATCTTCTCCCCTATCCCCCCCCTCCTTGACATCTGTCTGTACATTTATCTCGCTCCCTCTCCCTCTTTCTGTCCTTCACCTCACCTTCGCCTCATCCACTCTGTTTCACCCTCCCCGTTTTTTCCCTTTGTCCCGTTTTGAACTCGCCTCCATCTGCCCTCTCTCATCCTGCCGACTTGTCCCTCTCTACCTCCGCCCGTCTGTCTTGCTCCATCCTTTCATGTATCCAATGGGCGGAAGACGAAAAGAAAACAATCAGAAAGAAGAACTTTGAAGTAACTAAATCAGATTTGCAGAGGCAGCTACACAGGCAAGCCATTCGGTGAAATCCTTGATGTATTTACTTTAATTAGCGCCTAAGTCAAAAACAAGGACGGCCGCATGCAAATATGATGACATATTTTACAAACAGAATCTGACCAACATCCAACGTAGCAAGCCAGTTAAAGTATAAAAACACAGGCTTCAAAAAGTCTGATGCACTTAAGTTTAATGCTAACACAAAACATACGCAAACACAAATAAACTACTAGAGTGCTCCAGTCAATAAACTACATTTTAGATGGTGCAAGAATATTACCCACTTCTGTCAGTGACTTACAGTTTGATGTGATTTCTTGTACACCAACTGGGGAGCACTGAAGACCCTAAAAGACGGATGTGTTATACATTTTGGAAAACCATTTCACTCGTCTCCCCTGTAAGGATTCCTGCACACTATTTAACCAGAGCTGACAACCAGTCTGTTTGGATCAACTTTAATACGAGTCCTATTCGACACACAGACCCACACAAGTCTGCTCTTTGATATCAAGAGATCAGATGACAACACCACAGCCCCCGTCTCAAATATTCATGTGGCGTTTAATGTTTCCCGGTTTCCTGACGCTAATGCCAATGTGATGTAACTAGCAGGCCTTTTTTATTTTTCAAATGCAAAGCTGCCTTTGTGAAGCCAAGATGCAGCTGTGCAAGTGCAAACTCTCCAGAAAGGAAAACCAAACCAATTAACGACGGACTGTATA